ATATATATATATATATATATATATATATATATATATATATATATATATATATATATATATATTATATTTCCCTTGTAGGACAATATAATATAAAAAGTATAAAAACATTTGTTTTGGCTGATAGCGGCCAGTTAAACCCTAAACCCTAAACCCTAAACCCTAAACCCTAAACCCTCAAAAAGAAGAAAAACAAAAACCATTAGAAAAAAGTAAACAAATTTTTTTCTGTTTGTACACCTCAACCTCCTGCACTACAGGATGGCTGATGAGGACCATCTAAACCCTAAACCCTAAACCCTAAACCCTAAACCCTAAACCCTAGTTCAGAGGCCTCTGGCTCTTTCTGCTACTTCTAGCCGCCGCTCCACCACATCCCAATTCATAGCCCCCCAGAAACCTGCATATACACCCCACACACCATCCAGCTAGCCAGCTAGCTAGCTAGCTAGCTAGCTAGCTGCAGCAGCAGCAGCAACAGCAGCAGCAGCACCAACAGCAGCAACAGGAACAGGAACAGCAACAACAGCAGCAACAGCAACAGCAACTGCAGCAGCAACAGCAACAGCAGCAGCAACAGCAACAGCAGCAGCAACAGCAACAGCAGCAGCAACAGCAACAGCAGCAGCAACAGCAACAGCAACAGCAACAGCAGCAGCAGCAGCAGCAGCAGCAGCAGCAGCAGCAGCAGCAGCAGCAGCAAAGAGGTTTTGTTACTGTCTAGGTAAGCCGCGCGGGAATTTTTATAATCCAAATAGTAGGCGTGCTCCCACACGTCTGCAACACAAACCCTAAACCCTAAACCCTAAACCCTAAAACCCTAAACCCTAAACCCTAAACCCTAAAACCCTAAACCCTAAACCCTAAACCCTAAAATATGAATCCAGCGCAACCAAAGGCAGCCCGATTCGCACCACCAACCGGCCACGCTTCAGCCCCTTAAACCCTAAACCCTAAACCCTAAACCCTAGACCCTAAACCCTAAACCCTAAACCCTAAACCCTCACCAAGAACAAGAAGAGGAGAGAGAGCAGCAGAGACTGTTGCTGCGTCGTGGGTTTCCACTATAAGCCCCTTGCTGCCGTCAAAACACAACCAAACCCACCCGCTGCCGAAGTGACCTGCACACAAACCCTAAACCCTAAACCCTAAACCCTAAACCCTAAACCCTAAACCCTAGACCGCTACGAAAGTGTGCTGCACACAAACCCTAAACCCTAAACTCTAAACCCTAAACTTAAGGTCCTCAACCCTCAGGATATGTGGCATTCACACAAACCCTAAACCCTACTGAACCCTAAACCCTACTAAACCCTAAACCCTACTAAACCCTAAACCCTAAACCCTAAACCCTAGTTTGTTCCCCACCAGTGGCAGCTGCCTTGAATTTGTGTTTAAATTCATCTAGACCCCCAAAGGACTGCTGCAGCAGCTTTAGGGTTTTGGTTGAGGGTTTAGGGTTTAGGGTTTGTAGCCCCAAACCCTCAAAAAAAAAAGAGTGGTTGTAGTGCTGGCCGCATGCGTTTGCTGCTGCAGCAGGAAGACCCTCAACCCGAATTGCTTCTGCAGCACACAGCAGCAGCAGCAGCAGCAGCAGCAGCAGATGCAGCAGCAGCAGCAGCAGATGCAGCAGCAGCAGCAGGAGCAGATGCAGCAGCAGCAGCAGATGCAGCAGCAGCAGATGCAACGCGTGAAAAGAACAAAATACTAAACCCTAAACCCCAACAAACCCTAAACCCTAAACCCCAAACCCTAAACCCTCAACACACCGTCAAGAGTAACGCCCTGAAGTCGCCGATCCTTCTCTGCAAATGCGGCGAAAAAAACACAAAAAACCCTAAACCCTAAACCCTAAACCCTAAACCCTAAATACATACT